TATAAATTTTCGTTAAAATTATATTAATTTAATTATATTTAAAAAATAAAAACTATATTTATATACATTTTAGAAATTAATTTACTTATATCTAATTGGTTTTTCATTAATTATTTTACATTGTATCGAAGCCTACTTATATTAGTTATCCTATCAAATGTCATTTCCTAAGTCAAATAGTTTGTTGGTGTATTTTATTAATTATTATATCCATGATAATGCTAAATGCTTTTTCTATCGTTTGCTAATCTTTTAAATTCTAAGGAAGACCTTGCATTTATTGATGCAGCTCTTCTTCTATTTTTAATTGAGAATTATTCTTATTAATAAGATGTAATCTAATTTTATTATAATTCTTTATTTGAATAGGGATTCTTTAAAACTATTACAACTGGTTTATTAGATTAAGTTGTAAATTAATGTTAATATATAGAATTTCTAAATTCTATAAGTGATAACCATTCTTATTCTTGCAATGTATCATCCTCAGGATTTGAATCACTATCAGAATCATTCTAGCTTAATTAAAGTTGACTCAAATCGAAATTTTTAATAAACGTATGTATCCCATTATTTTATGATTAATATATCATTGTAGGTAATTTCAAATTTAAATTTTATTCCATTGTTGATTAAATCATTTGTGATTAAATACTTTAAATATTGAAAGTGCAATATCTAAACCTAATTCTTTATAATTGATATCTGTGAAATCTTGGATAATTTATCTCCGATATTCAATCATTTAATTATAATGAATAACTTAATCTTATAATTAAAAAATTCTTAAATATGCATTATCATACACAATTCATTTGTTTAGTTAATTTGCTTAATTAAATCTCTTATATACCAAACAGAATCATGGAATTCCTTATGTGAATTTAACCAGATTCTATTCAGATCAGTGTCATTTAAATTGCATCTGTAATTTCCAAAAACAACTCCATCTGGATTAATCATAGGAATTATATATATAGTGAAATAATTCCTTAACATTTCAGCTTCTATACAATTTTTAATCAAGAACTCTATAGCTCCTTCTATTGCAAAAGAACTTGGAGTCTCTCCAGGATGTTATCTTGCCATGAGCAAGATTGCTTTTTTACCATTTCCGATTGTAATTAATGGTCAATTTAATTTTGTTTTTGTTTTGCATAAATCTGACACAGTTGAAAACTTATATAGTCTTTAATTTTACTTTATTTGTTCTAATGAATCTATCAATAAATGAATTCAAATGTGTATATGTGTAAGGATAACATTAAGCAAAATAAACTTTATGATTAGAATATTCAAACTTACAAGAGAAACTTAATGTGTAATAAGTTTTCATAGATCTATTTTCTTTCTATATTTATTTTTTAAATAAACAACATTACTACCTGCCTTAATCCAAGATATCCCTTTATTTTTATTTGATTTAATTGAATAGATGACTGGTCGTTGACCCTTATTAAATAATGACTCATTTTTTATCTGTGAGGCTTTATGATATTATGTAAATTACAAAGTTTATAATGTTAAATGTAACTACAACATTTTTTTGGGTATTTTTACAGAGAAATTAAACCATTATGTATTTCCTTTAGAATTAGTATCATTTTGCATAATCAAATCATATTCATTTGTATTAATTCTAAATGATGCAAAAAGGTTTGAACTCTCATAATGCGAATCAAATTAATAGTTCTTAGATTCTTATTCAAGTTATAAAGGTTTAAAGTCTTTTTATTTCATTGTAGAAAGGAAAAGATTCTTGTATAACAGATTAAAATTCAGTTAATTTAATTTCTCTGTTCAAAGAAATCAATTTTTTACAATAAAAAAAAATAGACGATGTAAATTGATGATTATTTAAAGGAATCATTGACCAAGGATAATTATCATATCTTTAATAAACAATGTTTTATTTATTACAGCTCTCTTTTTTATTTTTTGTAATCATTCTCGAATAAATAAATGAATTTGTTATAAATTAAATAGAGTTTATTTACTCTTCATATTATCATTTATTTAAATTAATAATGAAAGAATTATTATTTATAAAAAATTCAAATATATAAACATTATTATTTCATATTATCATTTATTCATAATAATAATGAAAGAATAACTATTTATAAATAATCCAAAATATATAAACATTATTATATCATAAAATAATTAGATTTATATTTCAATATATATGTGTTGATAATTAATCACTTTTTTTAATAATCATCCAAAATGCAGCTTCCATTCTACTTAAAGAGTGATTTCAGATCTATACCTGACTGGTTCATAAATGAGCCTTTTAGTATCAAAGCTCCTTTGGCTTGGAAAATTGCCTCTTAGGATATTAGGATTATATTTAGATTCTAGTTTACTAAGCATAATATAGATGTATGAATTACTTTCTGCAAATTGATTATGCTAGGTTAGTAATGTTTTGAATTGGGCTAAAATATCTTTGTTAAG